GGGGGCTCCTGGGTGTCCTTGAGTAAGGTTCTGTTGCTTGACTTGAGTGCTGGTTATATGGGTCCGCACAGTTTGTGAAAATTAATTGAGTGGCACGTACTTCTTCCTATTATCTATTATATGCTCCAGTGAAAAGTTTTTCAAAAATTAATGTTAGCCCTCACCCCTCCTAAAACAGGTTCCTCAGCCCAGCCCCACCCCTGGGAATTCTTTGCCAGCCATCTTGCTCCCATCTCCCTTCTCCTGGTTCCCAGGCTCTGACACGCCTGTCTCCTTCACCTGCCAGGGAAAAACTCAGTGCAGAGGAATTCAGTTCTCAACCTCTACCCTCGTCTAGGCTGCAGGATGAATCCAACTAGAAAAAACTTATTAATGACCTAAACCATGGGGCCATGCAGCCCAGGAGAAATTCCTTTGCTTCCTTACAACCACAAACATTGCCATGGGCATTTTTTTTTTTAAAGCAAAATTTGTCTTCCCTTTACAGAGATGCCAGCATATTTCCCTTCTACCACCCTGAGTTATCCCTTCCATCTTCTTTGCTTGAAAGTGGTGGTGGTACATGCCTGTAATCCCAGCTACTGGGGAGGCTGAGGCAGGAGACTCGCTTGAACCTGGGAGGCGGAGGTTGCAGTGAGCCGAGATCACACCGTTACACTCCAGCCTGGGCAACAGAGTGAGATTCTCTCAAACAAACAAACAAACAAATGAAGATATATGAATGGCCAATAAACACTTGAAAAGGTGCTCAACACCGTTAGTTATCAGGGAAATACAAATTAAACCACAATGAGGTATCACTCCACACTCAATAGCTTAAATTAAAAAGCCTGACAACACCAAATGTTGGTGTGGATATTGAACAGTACTTTGCTATATTATTGGTGGAAGTGCAAAATCATACAACCCACTTTGAAATAAAGGTCTGGAAGTTTCATGTAGAGCGAAACATACACTTATGACCTAGTGATTTCAGTCCCAGATGTTTACCCAAGAGTAATGAAAGCATATGTCCACAAAAAGACTAGATTGAAAATGTTCACAGCATTTTTCTTCACAAAGCCCAAAAACTGGAAACCTACCAGATGTTGGTCAACAGGGGAATGGATAAGGAAATTGTGGTGTATTCATACAAGAGAATATTACTCAGCACTAAAGAGGAACAACTTATTCATGCAACACCATAAATGAATTTCAAAACCGCACTGAGTGAAAGCTGTTGACAAGTGCATATTGTATGATAGTATTTATACGAAGTTCTAAATCTGGCAAAGCTAATCTATGGTTTAAAAATGAGAACACAATGGTGGTGAGAGAAATTGGGTAGGTGCCTGAGGGAACTTTCTGGATGATAATGTTTTATGTTTTGATAGGGCTATAGGTTACATAGGTACATACATTTCTCAAACTCATTGAATGGCACAGTTCACATCCACACATTTCACTTTGTATAAATTTTCCCTCAAAGAAAAACTCGTAAATAAATATTAAACCTTTGTGAATGATATTGAAATGTTTGAGGGTAAAGTGGACTGCTGTGTGAAGTTTACTCTACATATGCATTTTTATTTTTGAGACAGAGTCTTGCTCTGTCACCCAGGCTGGAGTGCAATGGCACGATCGTGGCTCACTGCAACCTCCCCCTCCCGGGTCCAAGTGATTCTCCTGCCTCAGCCTCCCGAGTAGCTGAGATTACACGCACCTGCCACCACATTAACTAATTTTTTGTATTTTTAGTAGAGATGGGGTTTTAGCATGTTGGCCAGGCTGGTCTCAAACTCCTGACATCAAGTAATCTGCCCACCTCAGCCTCCCAAACTGCCAAGATTAAGGCATAAACCACTGCGCCCGGCCAACACATGCATTTTAAAAATGCTTAAAAAAAAAAAAAAAAAAAGATGAATTGGCCAGGCATGGTGGCTTACACCTGTAAACCTAGCACTTTGGGAGACTGAGGTGGCTGGATTGCTTGAGCTCACAGGTTTGAGATCAGCGTGGGCAACATAGTGAGACTCCATCTCTACAAAACATCAAAAATTAGCCAGATGTGGTGGCATGCACCTATAATCCCAGCTACTTGGGAGGTAGAGGTGGGAGGCCAGCTTGAACCTGGGAGGCAGAGGTTGCAGTGAGCTGAGATGGAGCCACTGCACTCTAGCTTGAATGACAGAGCGAGACTCTGTCTCAAAAAAAAAAAAAAAAAAGATGAATTGATAAATGGATATAGGATAGATAAGTGATAAAGCAAATATAAAATTTTAATTTAGAATGAGTGGTTGGTTCATAATGGTTATTGACTGTACAATTATTTCAACATTTCTATATGTTTGAAAAATTTCAAAGTAAACTCTTGGGGCGAAATTGAGTATTAGACATGTCCAAATACGTTTATAGCAGCACCATTTGTAATGGCCCCCAAGTGGAAAGCACTTATATGTCCATCAACAATAGAAGAGATACGTTGTGATATAATCATGTAATGGAAGAGTATGTAATAATCAGAATGAAAGATCTATGAGTATATGCAACAGCATGAATGAATCTCACAAATATAATCTTAAGTGAAAAATGTTAAGTGACATAAAATATAAGACTCATTCATATAAGGTGTAGAAACAGGCAAAACAAGTTCATACCATTCAAAG